AAGATTATTTTATGTGGATCAACTTTGGTATTCAAAGTTTTTCAAGTTTACATATAAAATTTGGAGTAATTTTGAAATGATTCAAATACTCAAATGCACCCAAATGTAAATTTCAAAATGGAGGCAGAATTTGAAAATGTTCCTTGAAGCAAAGTTGTAGAGTTTAAAAAGCTGAGCAACTTTCATTTTTGGAGATTTTCAACTTCTTTAGAAAATTTGGGAGTAATTTAAAAAATAGACTCAGTGGCAGTTATGTAAATAATTCAAAAATCAAGATTTACATCACCGCTTACCGCCGGCGCCACGCCGCTGCCGCCGCTAAGCGTTTTGGGCCACTTCCTCGTGCCCTGGCACGTCATCATCGCCGTGGCATCTTCGTCGTGTGCTATCGAAGCCAGACGAGCTCCTCCCGGCTATAAATAGCCGTACCGTCGTCGTCCCTCTCCTCTTTTCCTGCCTCTGCTCGCCGCCGACGACCTCACTGCGCTCGCGAAATTAGCCACCGTTGAGCAGTCTCCGTCGTGCCCAGCTATGCCAAAGTGATCGCCTCAGTCTTGCGCTTCTCTATGACTTGCTCACGCCACTTGAGTTGGCCGGAGTCGCCCGGCGCAACAGCTTCTTCCCCGAGCCCGGCCGAAGCTCCGCCACCATCGTCTCGACATGGCCAGGCCATTCCAGACCGTCTCTGCCTTCACCAAGCCCACCGGCGTGACCGTGGTGAGCTACTGAACGTGATGTGCACTTCGCTTTTGACTCTACCACATTCTTGCCGGGGTTACGCCGTGAGCCGACGTGCTCGAGCAGCCATGGCCGGCGTGGAGTCTTCTCCGGTGCACCTTCTGCTATTCCAAGGATGGGGATGGGTTCGTAGGGGTGTGTAGATTATTTGGGTGAGGTCTGCCTCGCCGGAGCGTCACCGTCGGCGCATTTTGGGGCTGGCCAGTGATGGCAGCGCTGTCGTGACATGTATGGGTCACTGACGGGTGGGGTCGGGTTGTCAGTGAGACGGAAGGAGAAGAACAATGAAATTTTATATTTTCTGATTTTAAATAGTGCTGAATCTTTAGAAATTTGTTTTAGTACACTAATTTGTCATGAGGAAGCTTGCATAAAATTTTGAGGTCATTTGGGACAAGATCATTTTTGGGCTTATTTCCAAATTGATTCAAAAATAAATAAAAGCAAACCCTAAGTGTTTGATTAGTGTTTGATCTTGTTTTGATCATGTTTTGTGACCAGTAGGGTTTCAAGAGTAGTGGTCAGAGAGTTCACCGTAGTGGTCGGAGAGTTCACCGTAGTGGTCAGAGAGTTCACCGTAGTGGTCGGAGAGTTCACCGTAGTGGTCGGAGAATTCGCCGTAGTGGTCGGAGAGTTCACCATAGTGGTCGAAGAGTTCACCGTAGTGGTCGGAGAGTTCGCCGAAGTGGTCGGAGAGCTCGCCGAAGTGGTCGATGCTGACGTGGTCACATCCGTTACGAATATGGTTTGGTTAGTTTAGCTTGTAACTGTACCGTGAAGGAAAGTTGTATTCAAGGTGTTGTTATATTTCATGCACCATGAAAGCATCATGTTTACATTATCATCATGTTGAAGCATATGCTATTATTTCGTGTAGAATCCGAGAGTGAACCGATTCTAGTTGAGCAAGTTCTGGAAGAATCCCCGGTTGTCACGGGATTCGATAATAGTGGTGCTGATCCGGAACCTGAGATCGTCAACGAAGGCAAGCCCCGGTTTATGCATTAAACCATTACCTTGTTTACTTTGAAAAGTTTATCACCTATGTTACTTATTGCATTAAGTTGATTTATTCAAATGTTACCTACTTGATGCATTGCCTACCTTGTTAATTGTTTACCATCCTTGAAGATGATTTCATTTACAAAGGCGTAGAATTGCTTAGTATGCTTTGTGGTAGGCTTTCAAAGTAAAAGTTTCGATACAATCAAAGATGGCATACTGGCCAAAGAAAGAAAGAAAGAAAGAAGATAGAATGAACTAGAGACTAGTCGGGTGGCTTATCTTGAATGTTGGGTAATGTTGCCAACTATGTCGCTTAAAGGCCACTCATTGTGGATCTTCTGAACGAGACACTTTGTAGTACTGGTCACATACTCCGGTAAGCCTACTTCGGCTAATCCGATACTAAGACGAATGCCCATGCACTGGGAGTGGTGAGATGGCGGGAGTAGCGTGTACCCTCGTGGCTTGAATGTGGCCAGATTTGAGGTGTGCTGTGCTCTCGGGTGGCGTGGAGACGGCTTAGTACGGGAGGATCCGGTAGGGAGGTTGATATATGCAAGATTAAGTTCTACATATGTCGTGTGACAAGGAATCCCCAGCTGGGACTTGAATCAATTCGAATTGCTAGTGCTCCGCAGATATGGAGACTCGATTCATTACAGAAGCAATGCAGGACTGGTGAATTACTAAAACTTGAGAAAAGGAATGGAATGAGAAGGATTAGAACATGGGATATGAACACTTAGTTTGAGATATTGAACTAAAGTACTTAGGGGTAAAACTTGAAACTAGGATCAAGAATAGTAAGCTTTTGGCAAAGAACTTTTGAATCTTTCTACATCCTTACCTTGACCCAACACCTGCATCCCTAAGACCTTCGCCCTTTTTGGTCGGGTCAGTCTTGTTGAGTACTTTTGTACTCAGGGTTTGTTAACCCTTGTTGCAGGTGAGTCGCATGCACAGGCTTGTTTTGGTCCCTGCTGCATGTCAGTGTTTGAAGTCGATGACGATGAGGAATGATGAATGGCCTTTGGACAAGGCACTAGTTTGTGTGAAATAAATAATGTTAATGTAATATTATTCCGCTACTATGGTTGTATGACACTTATGGTTTTGTAAGTTTGAAACAACTGGTTTGTAATATCAAAACTTAAGTCTTCCGCTTTATAATCTCTGGTATGTATATTTAAAACTGTTGTAATCTACGATGACTGTGATTGGGATCCTGTTTGGAAAAGATTCGTGGATGATTCGGGTTTCCCGAGGACACCCGACAGATCTGTTAAGTTGTTGGGAACTTGTGTACGCTATCTGAGGTCTGTTGAGACATCGATAGGTGCACGTGGGCCCAATTTCTTAGGAGGTTCTGCCACATGGGGTCCCCACGGATGGCATCAACTGTGGGGTCACTCCTGGCCTCTCGCCCTCGTAATTAAACACGCGGGGAGAGGCCGAGGGTTTCCCATAGGAAAGTGCTCGAGCAAACGTGTGAGAGCGAGCGAAGGTAATAGTGCGTAGGGCGATGGAAAATGCAGATTAAACGCTCATTAATTTGTCCGGGATCCTCAGAATCCTGCTCTTACACGTGCGCCCCAGGTATTTATAGGCCATACCTGGAGGCAAAGTAAATTTACATTAGGGCCAAGCCCGACGGGGCAACTGCTACATAATGGCTAAGGGTACGGCGGTAATCTCCCTCCCTTGGCCAGCTACTTTCTACCCTAACCCCTTGATGGGACCGCCGCCGCCGCCAAGTCGGTTTCGCCCCGCGGCGGGCACCAAACCATCGCGCATCCTGGCCGAGGGTTGGCCCGGCATCACTGACTTGCTCTCCTTTTGCCGTACTCCTTCCACGAAGCGGGCCTTCATGCGCGGTACCTGAACATACGGATTAACACATGGTACACTAGAAACCCTTGCCACGAGGGTTAGTACCTGCTGCGGGTAGTTTAGTCTGACTAAAGAATGGCAGAGCGCCGGGGGAGGAGCGGTGCCGGGGAGGCCTCCCCCCAACAATGCCTTAGGATCAATAGGAACCATGTAACCTTGTTCTCGGCAGCATCTCCCATCATTTTGATATGTACAATGGTATAGGTCAACAATGTCAAGAAATAAGTAGGGAATAGAGAGAAATTTGGTTCCGTTAATCAGAATCAATACAAAAGATTTAAGTTTAACACTATATGAATTCAAGGTTTCCACATTTGTTTTAATCGTCGACATGTTCTTCCTCATCATCTCTATCTTTTCCACGTCTCTATCTGTAGAGTGAGAATGATCCATGAAGATTGGTGAGTACATTATTTTTCCCCTTCTTTATATTTCTAACAGGCCATGTGTTTGCATCTCAGTTTTGTCTGATGCAGCCATCTTTCAGCTACGCTGTAGTTGGTATGTACATAATTTTTGTTTTCCTTGTTTTGGCAGTGTTTTGTTGCTTATACTAGTTAGAGAAAAAGTAGCCGTCTGACAAATATCCAGGGACCATGCAAAGAGTACCCTATTTTTGTCTTTCCAAAAACACGTTCTTTTCCAACTCCTAAAAGGTATCCGAAGGAATAAATAAGATCATTCCCAACAGTTTCTAATAATTCACTCTTAAAATAAGAATATAATTTTGCATCAGAAATCATATATTATTTCTAAATTATTTTAACCACTTTTATAAATTGTTTCTCTCATGTACATTCGCATCAGAAACATTTTACTACTTTTTGTTCTTTTCTCGCCCTTCCACCTCTGACCGCACCATATGCGCGTTTAGATCGGCGGGAGGGGATATGCACGACTTCGAGTCCACACATCTTTAGGCGTAAGGGAGGGTTTTTCCCAAGTGTTAAAAGATTGGGAGGTGGTTTTAGAAGTTGTTGGAGATAATTTTTTTCTATTCTGCCAAAAATTATGGATTGGGAAAGTGTTTTAGACACTCTTGAGATGCTCTTAAAACTAGATCCTGCTACAAGGACGCCACGACTGCAACTTACACTAATAAGCGTCTGTGCAGGTCATGCCTTGGATCCTTTATGCCGACGACACGAGAGCACCGCGCGTCAAGCGCCGTGTCGCACGCGTCCTCAGTCCGTGCGCTTCTCGACACCGCCCACGATAACGTGGCCAATCCGCAGCTTTGCATATGCAGAGTTTATAACAAAGTAAATGGGCGTGGCATGATTGCGAAGCCAATTTGCTCTGCTCTTTCGGAGAAGATAGAACCACTGCACGAACTAGCTAGAAACCGAGCACAGACCGGAATCACAATGGCGCAGGCGCAGCCAAGGAGACAAGACGATCCGCTCAAGGCGCAGCAGGGCAACAAGGCTCAGCAAGACCAGGACCTGCAGCCGGAGGAGGCAGCCATCAGGTACGGCCACGTGTTCGCCGTCTCAGGAGACCTCGCGGGGCAACCCATCGCGCCGCGCGACGCGGCCGCCATGCGGTCTGCGGAGGACAGCGTGGCAGGCGTCCAGGTCCCACAGGGCGCCGGGGGCGGCTTCAGTGCCGCGACCGCCATGGACCGCCGCGGCCTACAACCAGGCCGTGGGTGCCGTACACCCGGGGCAGGCCAGCGACACCGCGGCCATGCACGGCATCACCGTGACCCAGACCGCCGTGCCGGGCGGCCGCATCGTGACGGAGTTCCTGGCGGGCCAGGTCGTGGGGCAGTACTCCGTGGCCGACCCGCCGCCGCCGGTAGAGGAGGACGCGACCAAGATCACGATCGACGAGGCGCTGGAGGCGACGGCGAGGGCCGGAGGCGGGCGCCCCATCGACCCTGCCGACGCGGAGGCCATCCGCGCCGCGGAGATGAGCGCGCATGGGGCGGACGTTGCCATGCCCGGCGGCCTCGGCGACCAGGCGAGGGCCGCGGCGCGCGCCAACGCCCAGGCCACGCGTGAGGGCGACAAGATCAAGCTCGGCAACGTCCTCTCAGACGCGACAGCGAAGCTGGCGGGCGACAAGGCCGCGAGGACCGAGGACGCGACGAGGGTGGTGCGAGCCGAGACTTTCAACGACGCCGAAGCGCGCGCCAAGGCTGGCGTGGTGGGCGCGGCGCTCACCACGGCGGCGAGGCTCAACGAAGACAACGACCTAAGCGACACTTGAATGTTGTTCCACGCCACGTCACGACTCATTGTGTAATACGGAGTACTTATATGTGTTAGCAGTACTTACTAATGTATAATTAGCAAGATCCAAGGACCGGAGTATGGAAGCATGTGTAGTAGCAAGTCTGGCACTATAGCTATGAGAGCAATAAAACGTCGTTCCATGCTGTGATCGTCCATTCTAGCTTTGATGCGTTATTTCAATGCATGGACCAACTAATAACACTACCAAAATAGCATAAACGGGGACGGAGACACCTTAATTAGTGACACTATCAATCAAATTAGTAACGTAGAACTGAAAACGCGTCACTAATGTAAGATTAGTGACGTGGGTAAACGTAGATTATTAGCCACTAATTGGCAGGGCATCGTTAATCAACAAATCACCCTTCCGTAAACCAGGCACTCGTGCTGTCGTGCACACCCTATCTTCCACCCCTGTTTCTGATCGGATCAATCTCCACTCTGCCGCCCTACTCCATCGTTCCATGTAGCGGCGAGCCGTGCAGTCCTCCTTGCACCTGGGCGTTGATCACAACATTGCTCGCAAGTGCATCAGGGCTAACTGCCTCGCCAATCACTACTTGTGTACTAGGCGGAGTGGCGGACGATCTTGTCATACATAGTACGATCTTGTGTACTAAGTCTGGAACGGTCTTTGATCGAGTGTGCGCCCTATAGATAGAAGTGTACTTATTCCAGAGTTAACTAATCAACCAATAACAGATCACCATCACATGTAAGGCTATTCACAGCTCTATAAACATGGAACCGTGAGGGTCTAGGAAAGTCATCACGTTAACCCCATTCGAGATTTAATCATCTTACAGTTACTACATATACACACATCTAACAACAGGCGGTGAAACATACATAGGACATTCTGGTCTGCTACTGCTGACAGCTCTACAACCATCTGGGCATTATTTGTGCTACTATGCACCAGAGAAGAGAGCATGCTGATGATACATACACATGTACTCGCGTACTACTGGGGGTGAAGTTGCTTCGTCTGCTGCTTTCTCTTGCAGCAGTTCCGGGCAGCATTGAGCTGTTCCATCAGGTCCTGAATGGTGGCAGAGGCCTCCTGCAAATAGACAGCAATGGTTTATAGGCGACATGCACACCATCATGAAGTTAGATGACTCCATTTGTAACAGAGGAACTGGAGCATATTTTTTGGTTAGGAGCAATGTGGTGCATAGTTCTAACAACTAACCCTGAGCTTCTTCTTCAGGTTTTCCTCTTCTTGGTCGCAGCACTTCCTTTCTTCTGCAAAGAGCTCTACCGTTGCTTCTTGCTCCTTAATTGCAAGCTCGAGTTGCCTCTCCACATCCTCAAACTGAAAACAAAAGATAAAACTTCCTCAGGCTATTAAAGAGCACAAGGAGATCCTCAGACCTCCCAGAAATGCCATCCTTATATCCACAGCGACATTCAATCATTTAAACAAAATACAACCGTGGGAAACTTCCTATGGACAAGTAGGTAGAATCAAGGATGGTGTAAAAGAAAATTGGGAAGGTAGAAAACAAATTCTATTGAATTTTGCCTGATAACGCTTGCAATTTTTCTCTGTTTGTAGCTAACAGAACTTGCATTTCTAGTTAGTTGGGCCTGTTTGAGAGAGTTCCCAATGGAACACACCCAAGCTGATCCCATGGGATCTCTGCCAAATGGTATTTTTATAGAGAATGACTCCCAAAGTGATTCTATGAAATTAATTAAGATGCCAGGAGCTGAAAAACTAGCTTCTCCAGATTCACTTCCTGCACAAAATCATTTCATCCATAGTGTTTATCCTAGAAAATCACTAGAGAATAATTTTCAGCTACATAATCACTTCCCTAGAGAACCAGAAGCAGGAGCTATATCAAATAGGCCCTTATATAGTAACATCTAACAATAATGTAACGCTATTGCATGATTACTCAAGACAATTGGTAATTCGCACAAGATAAACGAAAAAAGAAGAGATTTACTACCATGAGTTCCAGCTAGTAGAAGCCAAATATTATAGTGGATCTTAAAACTGCTTACCCTCTCAGTCAGAGACTTATTCTTATCCCGCTCGATTTGTAGTTCCCTTGATAATGATTCCTGCACCATCAAGATTCTACAAAACAATATAATTAAAATGGCATGTCCTGTTCATGTTCTAAGTCCTATTCCCCCTCCCCTCAAGTGAAGTCTGGCACAACAAGGGCTAAAGTTATCTTTATTAAAATTGTGTTAATCAGATCAGGACCTGCACAATTATTTTTTATTATCAACGATCAGTTCACACAAAATTTTGTTGTTTAGTCAGACCATTGTACTCTAAAAAAAATTAAATAAATGTAGGCAACATACTTAATTATGATCTATGACAAATTATATGAGGAAATATGAAATTTCAGGCAATTCTTGGTTCAGTTTTGACCAATATTAGGGTTGAATTTAGATCTTTTGGAGAAATTTGGATGGTAAGGAGTTTCGATGGTCACTAATCACATGCCAATTTGGAAAAGGACACAAATAAAATAATCAGGTGGCAGACAGTAAGTTTAGGCATGACAAAATTCCCTCCACTATTTTTCATTTCTTGTCCTTGAATCCATGTCATCAAACTTTCAAAATGATATTTGTCTTTAGAAAGTACAATTATGTTCATAAATATTAATATAATCCTAAGGGCATCCTGTCGGTGTTTTCGGACCACCGACGAGTAAATTTGTATTTGCGTGTCTGGCTCGGATGGTGTGCTCGGAAGACAGAAGGGTTTATACTGGTTTGGGCGGAACGTCCCTACGTCCAGTTCGTTGCTGCTCGTGTTACCGGCATTTGGTTTGCAGTAAGGGTTACAAACAGGCGAAAAAGAGAGAGGATCCCAAGTGTCTAGTGGAAGGAGTGAACGGGTGCTGAGAGCTCGCTTGCTGCTCAGCCGTGTGCTCGTATCGTGCTCTTGTGTTCAGATCCCCTGTGTTCGGATCCCCCCATGGGGCGCCCTGCTTCTCCTTTTATAGACGAAGGGAAAGCGCGGATTACAAAGGAGGAAAAGTAGAAGAACGAAAGAGAAGAAGGCTTCCAGGGTTGCCGGCTCCTCCTTCATGCGGATCCTGCTGATCCTGTAGATGTCAACAGGGACGGCTCCATGTCGCGGCCTTGTTCGTCACTGGCGCCATGCGCATGCGTCATCTGCCAGTCATAGCGTTCCACTCCGTCCCGGCGCACGTCATGGTGAATTGACGCGCCTGTCAACGTCCGTACGGGGATTAGGCAGAACAGCACCGACATGTCCGACACTGTTCTTGATGTGAATCCCCAGGTATGGCCCGTCATGGCCATGGGTTACATTGAGACGTGCCAGCCTCTTCCCTGGCGTCAGAGTTTTGACCCAGGCCTATATGCTTGGGCCTGGAGTGGTTGGCGGCGGTATGGGTCCCCGTCGGACGAGACGGAACCCGTGGCCTCGAGGTCAGGCGGGACGGAGCCCGCGACCTTAGGCGAGACGGAGCCCGCACCCAAGGGGTCGGGCGAGACGGAGCCCGCGGCCTCGAAGTTGGGCGAGACGGAACCCGCGTCCTTGTGGTCGGGCGAGACGGAGCCCACACCCAAGGGGTCAGGCGAGACGAAGCCCGCGGCCTCGAGGTCGGGTGAGACCTTTTAATATGTCTCGAGCCATCCGGGGAAGTCAGCGTGGGCACTAACTTCCTTGCTTTGTGTATCCCCAATATCGATACTCGACAGTAGTCCCCCGAGCCTGCGGAGGAGTAGGATACTCCTTTGGAGGCTTTCCGGACGGGAGGACTAAGGGTCTTGGCCTTCTTTTTTAGCCCGCGGCGTGTCTTGGTAGGACGGTGATTCCCTTTTGTCGTGATCGGTCTTCTTGGGGCATGTAACCGTAGGATTCGGGAGGTCGGAAAGATTTTTCTTGATTCTGGTCCCCTAGGATCCGATCAGTCCGCTGTCGTACTACGACCGCGCGTTCGGTCTCCTTGCGAGGCCAACTTCCCTCGAGCCCCTGTGCATAGCAGGGGTCCGATCGAGGGTCGGCTCGTCTTTGTGATCGTCATCTCTCAAGCGTTTTTTTTTATAAAACGGAGGGGCTGAACCGTACCACGTTTTTCCTCGATGGACGAAACATGGTGCTCGGTGAGCTGTTAACAGGCTAGTTCGAGTGGGGCCATGGCTTCCCGTTCATGGGGGTCCGGCATGGGTCAGCTGGTGACCGACTCCAGACTCTTGGCGGCCAATCCATATAGTTCTTAGGTCCGTTCGGCCGGTCCCTAGGGCTCGTTGCCTTTCTTCGAGGAAAAACCATAGACTGGGAACCGACCAAGACTCGAACGTGGGCCGGGATGCCCGCGGCGCTCGTGCGCCCGGGTACTGGCCGCTAGTGGGCCCATCCCTTTCCACCCCTCGTTCTAAGGGTGCCCCGGAGCGGCTGTGAACCCGTTGGCGGGCTAGCCTTCGAACTCCTGATCCTAAATGGGCCGTAGGAGCGTTTTCAACTCTGTATCCCTCCTTACATGCGACGGTTCTTGGCCCATCGACCGGGCGAACCGTCATCCGGCGTGTCCTTCGAGGGCGTGGCCAGAGATAGCGTGCGCATGATCTTCGGATGGAGGTGACATGACGCGGCGTAGCGGGTGCGTGAACCTTGGTGGACGGTTCGTCTTCTCACCCCGCTCCATCCTATAAATAGCGACCTCCCCCTTTGCTTCTCCGCAGCCGCCTCCATCCTCCATGGATTCATGGTACCGCTCCGATGTTACCCATGCGCGCATGGAGAGCCTCATCAAGCATGGTCTTCTCCGCGGGAGGACCGATGCGACGAAGTGGCATGTGACCGACCATGAGGATGTGCCGGCGCCGCCCGATGGCTACGTCGTCTCCTTCACACCCTTCCACGAGCGCGGACTCGCGGTTCCTCCCCACCTGTTCTTCCGGGGTCTGCTGCTCCACTATCAGATCGAGCTACAGCACTTGAACCCCAATGAGATCCAGCACATCGCGGCCTTCATCGCGATGTGCGAGGGGTACCTGGGGATCGAGCCCCACTTTGAGTTGTGGAGATATTTCTTCTCCATCTCCTTGATCAAGGAGAGAGGCCGGGAGACCCCGGTGCCGATGGGATGCGCAGGCATCCACCTTCGGGGGTAGCGGGCGGTCGAGTACATGCCCTACCAGCTCTCTAGATCCAATAAGGGATGGCACTCGCATTGGTTCTACCTAAAGAACGACCCTGCCGCTCCCTTGCTTGTCATCTCCGGACACCTGGTCGAAGAGGTACCGCCGTCATGGCCGTGGGGGCCACCCATCAAGGAGAAGAGGATGCGCGACCTCCTCGAGGCCATCGTGTTCCTGAAGACCCACGGCCTCCGCGGGGCCGGCGTCATCGGGGGGTATCACGCGAGGAGGGTGGCGCCACTGATGACGGACGTCCTCCCGCTGTACGGGATAACGCCCGACGCGCAGCTTGTCGGGACAATGCTCGCCCAAGGGCTGCTCCATGACAGCGAGGTCGCGCAGCGCATCAAGGAGGCCACGGGGGAGGCCGACGCCGTGTTCCCGATCCCAGGGCATCCCGTGATGCGGCCAGACACGGGCTTCATTGAGCTGCCGGCGGGGTCAGTCTTCCGAGACTCTGTCGCGCCACTGCCAGAGCACGCGGCCGTGTGGGCAGCGAACCGTGCCGCGGATGAACAAAGGAAGATGAAGAAGAAGGACGACGAGAAGATGAAACGGCGGTCGAAGCAGTGAGCGAAGCTGCAGCGAGGGAAGCGACGTCAAGGTTCGTCGGAAGAAGGAGGATGACGGCTCCAGGTCGCCCATCCTGTGGGATGATCTGGCCGCCGGGGACAAGGACCCGCCTCCAGAGCCGAAGATATCAAACCGCCCCGCCCCGTCCGGACCTTCGACGGCGGCCTCGAAACCGGCGGAACCAGGCTGCCTCGCCTTGTCTGAGCCTTCGACGGCGGCCCCGGAGCTGGCTGAAACAGGTCGCCCTGCTCCGTCCGAGCCCTCGGTGGCACCTCCGGAGTTGGCGGGAGGCAACTGTTCTGATTCATCTGAGCCCTCCGAGCCGAGGGAGGGCTCGAAGCAGCAACGTGTCGATGAGTAGCCGGGGTCGATCAAGCCGGCCCCAAAACGTCCTCGCGTGATGACGTCAGGGTGAGTGAAGAGTTTTTTCGTCCTTTTATCCTAACGAATTTATGCCGCGAACTGACCGCCATGTCCCTTGCAGTGTCGGAGGACGTGGGGCTCTTCTGCGGCTCGCTCCAAAAAAGATCCTCCTCCGGCAAAAGCGCCAGGAGTCGGCTAGCGCCGCGCCGGTGGTGAGCGTGAGTGGCGTTGGGGCGACCACGACGTCGACTGGGGAGGCGCAGCCGATAGCTGCGTCCACAAGAGAGCAGGTGGAGGAGGGCGCGTCCGAGGCGCCTGTGGCGGGCGTGGCGCGGCTGGTCGTGTCCTCGACGTCGCAGGCGGAGGCGGCACGGCCAGAGCCGTCGTCCGTGTAGGTGGCCATGTCCACAGCAGGGAGGATGGAAGGGAGTGCACCCGAGGCATCCTTCGCGGTTGTGGTGATAGGGCAAGCGGCTCGTGTCTGCGTCACTCGCCCCCTCTACCGCTAGAGGAGCTGCTTTAGAGGAGCTGCCGCCACAAGAGAGGTCGGCGCGGGGACGTCCCGATCTCTGGTCCAGGTAGCTACCCTCGACGACGCAGCAGAGGAGAGGGAATGGGGGCGTCCACACAGAGGTTAGGGACGCGATTCGCGCCCTGACCACCATGCTGAGCTCGATGCGCGACATTGTCGCCCCGGTTGGCCAGGTATGATATGACCGTGCTTTCGACCCTCATGTTCTCTTTTCACGCCTCTAAGTCTTGTTTTCTTCACAGATCCTTATGACCCGCAACCGAGAGAAGTCCCAGTTCTTTGCTGAGGAGACGCGGCCGTGTGAGGGGCTGGCCGCACATCTCGCTGCCGCCTGTCAGGAGGTGGCTGAGCTTGCCCTTGCCGCCCGAGAGGTGGCCGACCTCTGAGTCAGGGAGAAGGATGCTCGCGACGACACCCGCGAGGCCGAGGAGAAGCTCGTGGCCCTGATCGAGAGGGTGCGCACGGATGC